CATGTGTCATCATATAAACATAAGCAAGCCTAGTCTGATGAAGACCTAAGGGATGAAACGCATCACATGAAAATTTTTCCAAACACACACATCCAAACATTACAGATATCCTTTATATGACTCCAGCATATATTATGCACAAGGTATACAAAAAAATAACAAAATAACTCCAAACAAGATATCTCTGAACCATTGTCTAAAGCAATACTATATTCAGTCTTCATTGGTGTAGCATCTCTCTCAAATCCCCATGGGAAGCTACTGTCTTTATCAAATAGTCAGATATTTTTTCACATCATCTGATCCATTCTACATGAATTTCTTTTTTTGTCATTATTTATATTTCCTTTGCCACATCATTTCATAGATGATGATCACTGATAAGGTTAGTAGAATTCAAATTTTTCACAAGTGATGAGTTATCAGTCTTACAGACAACTTAGTGTGACACTATTTAGCTATGGTAATTGATTAACTAATTAACCATAAAAATTAAACAAGAAATACTGAGAACAGAAAGAAGATATCCTGAAAGATATACCGTTTGATATTAAAAAGATTTCATTTTGTTTCCGAAAAAGTTACTTTCTCAAAGACCCATAAATTGGCATAGACAGTAGACTCCTAGAAAAGCTATATGTGAGATTTTGACACTTGATTAATGTTGTTTGTAAAAAAAATGCTTGCCGAGAGAAACACGAGATTGAGCAAAAGCAAGACATTGAGACATCAGGCAGGCCATATGGCGGTTGTAAAAATTTTGGCATGAGAAAATATTTTATTCCGATACGAGTTGGAGAGAATTGTTATTATTTACTTTTTCAAAGTGTCGTCTTCAGGCACCGACATGTTGAGTAGCAATATGGTAATCATAAAATTTTGGGCATGAGAAAAGATATTGTGATTTGGCAGATAAGAAATTTAATTTCTCAAGAAGCCAAGGGTTCCAGTAAAAGCTAACTTCATGAAGGGACCAGATGGCAGACTTTGACAGTGATTGATGGAATAAGACAAAGGGTGCTGATTGATGGAGATTTGTGACAATTTGGGATGATAAAAAATTTTGGTTTGATGGTTCTGGAAAAAGAATTTTGTAAACAAAAATTCTGGGTTATAATTTTAAGGAGGCCACACGACTGGGATGCTATTTGTCGAGTGGTAGCAATGGTGATGGGCGGAGATAATTTGATGAGAAGGACAGGGAAGTTATTTACGCCCACTGAAGGGATTGGTACGAGGTATCAATGTGAGAGAGGAAGAGTTTAGGAGGATAGCTCTCCTCCAACCTCTCCACACAGACAAGGAGATCCCCACAAAATGCAAAGTGATTAATTTTCCAAATATGGGAAGTAATCAATTTTTTTCCTGGCCTGACAACAAAGAGATTTCTTGTTGGAAATTGAGATTTACTGAGAACTCCAGACTGCGTTTAACCCTGCATATGGTTTTTGGTCGGTACCCATATAAACGAACGTCCTCAGGCTGTTCAACAGTAAGTATAGAGACACTTGAGAGAGTCAGTTCACTTTGAGTGGCAGAAACCAGAGTGTTGCCTCACGGAAGCTGACCAAGAGATTCCACAACCTTCGACTTCGCCTGTCCTACCAATAGCAAGTTATACTGACAAACGAAGCCAAGCCAGCACCTAAAAACTAAACCAGTTGACTTGGGATGCCAGAACTTGCTTAAGAAACGTAGAAGTGTCACACTCCGTAGAAAACGGGCTGGGAGAAAAACACACTCCTGTATATAACAGAGAGATAAAGTTAATTTGTTACTTTTTAACGTACTTGAACCTCTTAACATTAACATTCAAATAGTTCTTCAGACAAAACAACATTTTTTGGGGGGAGGGGATGTAAATCAGACAAAAGATGACCAAGAACAACAAAAATTATTTGTTAAATTTTTAATTCATTAAATCTAGCGCTTAACATTATTTTAATAAATAAAAACAAAATATAATCTTTTCTGATTCACTATCGGTTCTAACAACACTAAAAAACAAAAAAACTTGCCAACACATTAATAGTGAAGTTGCTAAATAAACTCCATTTAATATCTGTGTTGATAGATGTTGTGATGTGTTGGATCCCAAGTCGTGGTGGAATAATTGGGAATGACAACGCTGATGCAGCTGCTAAACATGTTGAAAATATGGAAATTGACCTGAACTTTAAGATCCCTAAAGAGCCAAATAAACAGATTTATTAAACAAAAATGGCAACAACATTGGAGTAACTGTGCCACAAATAAATTACTACAAATCAAGCCTGTACTTGGTGAATGGAAGCCAGGATCCAGAAAATGCCAAAAAGAAGAGGTAGTATTGGTCTGCTTGTGCATTGGCCATACAAGCATTACGCACTCATACCTACCAAAAGGGGAAGAGCAACCAACATGTCCAAATTTACATACACTATATTTGTTTATTAACTTAATGTACAACTCTAGGAAGGCTTTCTTCAATATAAACAACATAAGGGATCTCTTTGAAAGAGCAAGAATAGATGATGATATATCATTTCTCAAACAAGTTGGTTTATACCAAAAATATAAATCTAAAAATAAACCAAAACTGATATCTAAACCAAAGTAGTTGAACCAAATTAGTTTGGTATCCTGTGATAGAAAATAAAAAAGTTGAAACCATAAGCTGGAAAAAAAGAAAATAAGTAAATAAATAATTGACACCATATGATTGGGTGTTTTTTTGTTTTTTTTTAAAAGAAAGAAACATTTTTATGGAATATAAGAATGGCTGAGCTTTAAATGACCCACAAGGGGTTGATAAACTGTAAAACAAAACAATCTCCTCACAGATGAAAAAGAGACTTGAGACAACAGAAATATTCTACAAATTGATACTGAGAATACCATGTACTGAATACGTGAATAACAAAGTTTTAAGGAAAATATTAAAAAAAAAGGATGCTTATACTTAGAATCCAAAATAGATGAAATTTCTAGGACATGTAATGAGAGAAGAGGGTTTGGAGAATTTGACACTCGCAGAACATATTGAATGCAAGAGAGATAGAGGAAAACAGCAAGTAAAGAATAACTGAACTTGAAAATATTTAAAAAAAAAAGCTTTAATCAACAAAGTGACCTATGACAAGACTAATACCAAATGCTAGAAAAACTAAACCCACAGAAGCAACAAATATCTCTCAAAAGGTCAAAGGTGGTAATAAGTTCATAAAGTTCCAATCAATGGAAGTAATTAAAAATATATATGACAATTCTCTCCCTGCTTTTTTAAAATTTATTTTATTCTATTATTTTGACCTTCCATTATTCTTGATATTGAGATTGATAGCAGTGGTTTCTTGAAGATCATCTTAGAGCAGGGGTCGGCAACTCATTCAACCCCACGGGCCGGATCGTGTTATAATGACGGGTCATGGCCCGGACAAAGGTCATTAATGAAAAATTAAGGAAAATTACATATGCAGACCCATGTCAACCTAAATATTTAAAACCGTAATGAAAATAAACATTGAGAAATCAGAAAAAATAAAATAAAATCTAAAATTAAAAAACACTAAACAAAAATTACTTTTCCTCAAGGAACGTCAAAATACTTCAAAGTAAAAAAAATCAACCAACGTGAAATGGATGAAATTATGACATGTAGGTTTGAAAATGTTATTGAAAATTGTTCCACAAATGAACCACACACACACACACATCAAACAAAAATGAAGCACATACTCATACATACGAGTACAAATAGTTGCAAACATATACACACTGACGTACGTACACATGCGGTATCATCCACACATTCATGAAGCATGTATGTATAATGCGCGTATGTTTAACTGTCTTTAGATTTCTGCTACCTTGCATCTCAGTCCCTCCCTGGCTTCTTTCACTTTATTGTTCCTTTCGCTTCTGTTATCTTTTAATGTAGCCAAGGGTCATAACAAATATGTATCCATTATTTGACATTTAAATGTAGGCAACGCAACTTGGTAAAATAAGTCTCATGAAAGATAACTGGCAGATAGTCTAATATTTTTAGTGCACTGAGATGTGTAGACATTCTATGGAAAATGACATATAACAAATTTCATTTGAAGGTCGTCTCTCATGTTAAAAATAGTCATTGGTAATCAGATCCGTGGGCCTGTTAGAATGCCTTCGCGGGCCGGATCCGGAGAACTAGCCTCTAACAGCTTAATTTCATTGATCAAAGTTTCATACTTGCTGGTGTGAATATTATAGTGTAAGAGAACTGGAACAGGATCCACTAGCTAAATCATTCAGTTATGACTACTGAGTGACCAGTGTTGGTACTAGAAGAGTCTTTCATGGGGTGTAACATTGGTGGCAAGTTGTACCCCAGGTAAAACAACTTCCCACTGAGATTCTTGCAGATTTCTCAAAGCCAAAACCAATGGAACATTGTACCATTCACACTGACCATTCTCTTGAGGGTTGTGAGGGGTAGTTCAACTGGTAGCTGTATCTAAATTATTGAAGTATTCATGCAGTTTCATAAATAAAAATGAGAATCCCCATTAAGAGTGGATATCTGAAGGTGTACTGAACACAGTAAATATTTGGTTCAGACATTCAATTACCACACTTGATGTCATATTTGGGCATGTAAAAGCAAAAAGAAAACATGAATACTCATCTATTACAGTTACCATGTAACAGTTCTTTGAGTTAGAAGGAAGGGATCTTTTAAAATCTAGGTTCAGTTACTCTATCAAGACCATCAGGTTCTGGAGTGCAGAGTTGCAGTTTCCATCAAGCACAAACTGCACAGTTTGCACATAGCTTTGCACATAGCTTTTTGAATCCTCTATATGTCAAACCCACTAAAAATATCCTTTATAGTAAAAAGAAATAATGTTGCATAAAAAAAATTAAAAAACTAAATATAAAATGTAACTAACTTACACAATATCAAAAAAGGACATCATTTTTTTTTATAGAAAATGCATGTTATGGGGTTTTAATAATACTCTATTTTCCTTTTACAGGTAAATGATGAAAACTTAAAAGATGCCACACATGAAAGAGCCATTCAGATTCTTCGGCAGACTCCAACTATAGTGAAAATGGTTGTATACAGAGATGATCAATTAACAAAAGAAGAAGATATTTATGATATCTTTACTGTGGAATTGGTTAAAAAGCCTGGTAAAGGACTTGGACTTAGCATTGTTGGCAAACGGAATGATGTTGGTGTTTATATCTCAGATATTGTAAGTGAATTTCCAAACAGTGTATCTATTGTAATTTCAAGTGCACAAATGCAGTTGTGGCTATCTTTCATGCAACTAATTTTAAAATTAGCATTAACTGCTCAGTAATTTTAACATTATTAAATCATGTAGTTAAAAATGCCCCATTCAGTTTGTATAGTAGATATTGTCTTGCTGTGTCAGTGAAATATTAATTAAAGTGACCAATTTCATCATTTATTTTTTGCTAAGACAATTTAAAATTTATGACATTTTTTATTTATTTATTTTTTTAATTTTTTGAGTTATTAAATGATTCCCACTTAGATTTCTTATTTTTACAAGACTAAAACTGCAGTTAAATCTAAAATCTTTCAAAGTATTAACCCTGGTCAGAGTTTGTATTTGTCCTTGATACATGAAGAAAAAAACATAATACTTTTTTTTATTTCTTTGCTATTTTTGATACATTAATTTTTTATGACTATTTAAAGTTGTAAAATGTTAGCTTATCTCTGCTGAAATAGTTTTATATTAATATCAAAACGTGCTTCAGGCTTTTCTCTTTCCATTCTTTGCAAAGCACAAGTTAGGCTTATAGTAGAACTCATAAAATTCTCTTACAATATATAATAATTTTTTTACTTATTGATCATTTAAAAAACAGCAGTTAATTCGTTAATGAAGTTACTTATAAGTAATATCAGTTTGATGAATAAGTTTGTCAATTATCTATGCTATTGTTTTTGTCTGTCAAATAAAAAATGGCAGGACTTTCCAGAAAGTAATATCTCACTTGGTATCAGTAACAATTCACATAGAAAACTTTCATCAGATAAAGTAGATTTTCTTTTTATTTCTATAGTAAGAAAGTGTAAAGGATGTGCATTGTGGTGTAATGTATATTGGCTCAGAATGAGACATCAGTGTGCTGAGTTTGTTACATTCACTTACATGCAAATACTTTTTGGAAAAAAGTATGAATCCATCTATTCTCTTCCCAACTATGGGTTAAATAACAAGGCAGACTGAGTCCTGTAGCCTTGGTCAGCAACCAGTCTGCTGCAGAAAGAAATTGCAACCTACTGCAGGAAAATCTTCTGCCTAGTCAGTCATGAATCAAAAGAGACATGATTGCCCAAATGTGTATCACATATGGCACTTAACTGACTGAAGAAAACAGTAAACAATATTTACATGATTGATGAAATTATTTGAGATTGAAAGCTTTGAATTACAAAACACTTCCCTTATGAAAACATTGACTATAGTATCAAGAAATATTAACACTAACTATATAAAATTTCATTAAATAATGCATACTTAAAATAAATCATTAGTTAAATTAAAAATCAAGATATTTGATCATCACTTTTTTCAAATAGTTTCTCCTCATTTCTTAATTTTCCAAGTTCCTGGAAGGTCTTAATTCTGTATTGAGGGGTTTATCTATTTGAGACTAAATTGTTGCATTTTTAATTTTTGCCAGTTTTTTTTCCATCTGTATGTATTATTTCAATGAAATTTACTAAGACTTTATTTTGCTTACAACTCTCTCTTTCTGAACACTTTCTTTGCATAATTTTAATTATTTGCCATCCTTTCAAAGGCAAATTGTGACACAATCAGTTTTTAGTAACTAGCCACTTGATATGACCCATGATGCAGAGTTAGACTTTATAATGGATCATCCAGAAATTATCTGATTCCTTCAGCAGTGTACCACCCTTTTAACACAGAGACATACTGTCTGAAGCATAGATTCCTGATCACTTAGTTAATTGTCAACTCATTTAGCTGTGTTAATACTATTAACTACTGTAGATTCTGTGGTTTCATTTTGAAAAGTTCCCTAAACCAACAGTATAACCATGAGATGCTTTCTTATAATTGATAAAGTTTGTTTACACAAATGATACCTTTTGTACATGTATATATTATTATAGTTTTTTTAATTAGATCCACTAAATAAAACAATGAGCTGTATTTAATAATAATGGTGATGATTATTAATTAGTGGTTATTATGCCAACATACTAAAAAATCAAAATAATTAGTATATAGAGGCTGCTGAAAAGTTCTTGACCTAAAAAAAGAAGCCCTTCAAAAAATTTGTTGTTTAGTCATTTGTTTAGAATTTTGGAAGTGGTTTATACCAAGAATATTTCAGCACTCCCTCTTGTACAATTTGTTTGGTTTTGTTGCCATAGTGACATAGGCAAAATGAACTTGTCCTATTTTGAATAGAATTGAGCAACTATTAATAAGTCAGTTGTCAGTTGACACAGAGAAAGAACTTTTATATTAGAGACAAAAATGTCCCTGGATGCATTTATGGAGCTTTTGCAACAATTATAGTTAATTGAAAAATTCAATACATCCAAGAGTAATGCTGAAGCATACAGCATATCAAATTACTTTGTGCAATGAAAATACTGTGATAGGACAAGAAAAAATGTTCAAAATGGACAAGTATACTGAAATTGTGAAAAGAAAAAAAAATTCCAGTCTGTGTGCAAGTATAAAAGGAAAATAGAAAAGGTAGAAAATTTAAACCCCTTTCAGAAAAATACAGCTGTATTTTTGATACAACAACATAAAGAGAATATGCCAGAGAAAAAATTAAATTGATTGGTATAACTTTTTCTATACAAGTAGATACTGAGAGTAATGTCATCCTAATCCCAATAAATTTATGGAAATGAATAGGCAAACGCAAATTAAAGAAAAGTTAGCTTAAACTATGACAATTTGATCAAAACCTTAGGTTGTTTTGAAAGAACTTTTGAGACTGACACACATTTGGAAATTATTATTATGGTTATGAAATATAACGGTCATGGACTCATGGGAATAGATGTCTTGAAAGTGAATACAAACTAATTAATTAAGTGTGAAGTTGGAAAGTAATGACAAAAGGATGTTAAAAGGATGCAAAGTGAGAATTCAATTAAAGGAAAATAGTCACCTCTCTTATTTTGCATCTCACAAACTGCTTATTCATATTAATTAAAGAATTAAATACTTTGCTAAAAGTCACCTCAAATCTTCCTATAACCAGATATAAATTGAAGAAAAATTTAAAGAGATTATTACGATTAACTCTCCAATAGGCTTACTTAGATAGAAGCATGTGCCTAATGATGTAAAAACAGCAAGTGCTATTTTTCAAAGAGCCATCGAAAATGTCCTAAATGGTGATGTTAAGATGGTCATATATCAAGACAATATATGTATTGGTGCTACCAGTAGAGAAGAGTTAAAACAAGAAATGGTTTATATTTTAAACAAATAAAAAAATGCTGGTATAAGAATAAACAAGTTTAAATGTGTGTTAAATTGTGACCTGATAACATATCTGGGATACCAGATTTTCAAAGACAGAATTTCACCAGCCACAAATTTGATAAAGAAGATATTAGAGGTATCTACACCTACAAATAAAAAAAGAAATGGAATCTTTTTTGGATTAGCCAATTTTTATAGCAGATATTTGCCAAAATATAGTGAATTGATAGAATCCTTTGTGGAATTATGAAAAAAGAACAATGAATTTAAATGGACTCAATGGCAGAATACAGCATTTGAAAATTTAAAGAAAGAATTTATAAAAACCCATTGCAAAAATTTTTTAATCTAAAAAGGAAATGACTTTAACTATGGATGCAAGTGAGTGTGCTGTATCAGCAATTTTGTCTCAAGAAGGTCATCCTATAATGTACCATTCTAGAAGGTTAACATCACACAAGGCTAACTATTCAAATATTGAAAAAGAAGCATTAGCTATCATTTGGAGCATAGAGCTCATCAATTTTTATTTGCCAAGTTTCTACTTAAATCTGACCATAAAACTTCAGGAGTTGCCGAAAGTTACATCATCTGGAGTTTTTAGATAGGCCATAAAGTTCATGGCCTTTGATTTTGACATCAAATATGTGAAAGGAAACACATGTAGATGCTCTATCAAAACTAAAGTTCAACAATTAACCATTAGAAAGATCAGACAATTAAGAAGATAAAATATTTCACTGGATTGAAACATGTATTATATTTAGATCATCTTGCATTTGAAACCTTACAGGGTTTGGTATTAAGGAAGATTGCATGTAGAATAAAAAGAAACAAATGGAATGATTGTTCTAGGGTAGAGAGACTCTATAAAGAGATAAAGCACAGCTTAACCTTAGAGAAGGATCTTATATACAATGGAGATGTTTTAATACCACAAGAGAGATTAAGAAAAGACATAATAAAAAGTGTACATGATGAGGTTCATTGTGGAATAACAGCAACATGGAGACTGTTAAAATTGGAAGCATATTGGCCTAGGTATTTGCATGATCTAGAATAATATGAACAAAAATGCTGTAAATGTAGGTAAACAAAAACTTTCACAACACCAAGATACATTCAAGGCCTAAAGAAAAAGAGCTAAGGGCCCACATTCATATGGCTCATACACATGTTAAAAGATAGAGGACTATTTTTAATTTGCAGAAAGAATGGTGTAGATGGGGAAAATGTGGTTGAAGGCATTTTCCTCATCCAAAAATACCATCCGTCCTGGGTATGATGATAAACTACATCTGTGTCCTGGATATGACAATAAACTACGTCCAACAGCAAGGCCTCTGATCAGGTTTTGAGGAATGTGGAACCACCTCTTCACTGCTGACATTCCCAGGTCCGCCGTGACCCAGGGTGGTAGCACCTATTAGGGTCCCAGCTATGGGCAAATAGTTAACCATGAAACTGGGGTAAAAATGCTATGAAAGTGTAAAAATAGGTTTTAATATCAGTAAAAAAAATTATTATCAGAAATACATTATTACCAGCTATACATTTTCTAAAAAAAATATTAGCTAATATATATTATATAATATATATCATATTAATAATAGATTTTTGAAGAAAAAATATTACCAGCAATAGACTTTGGATGAAAAAAATATATTACCAGCAATACATTTTTGGAAAAAATATTACAAGCAATAAAGAATTTTGTTGGTATTAAATAACCCATTGAGGTTAATATGCCATAAGACAGAACAAAAAGACCATAGATAGTTACCTACTGAGATTATTTCTGAGTTGTAGAACTATTCCACATGCTAGTAGAATGCAAGTCCATCTGCATTAATGGGAAGACAAATTAGATCACCTATAACCATGTCCTATTCAACAAATAAAAAAATATGGTACAGAAAAAACTGAAAATCAAGTCCTGAAAAAACTAACTTTATTGCACAAAAAAGACATAATACAGCTATAATAGCAACAAGTGGACAGAATTTATTGGCTCATTCTGATTACTGAATGCTTCTAATGGAGAAAGTGAACATAGTAAAGAAACTATAGAAGATAGTCTGCACAAATCTGATATGGAGTTGAAAGATCAGAATGAAGATAAGTCCAGACCTAGATCCTCAATAAAAAGAACCAGGTTCATACCATATATATATATATATATATATATATATATATATATATATATATATATATATATATTGTTACAAAACCCCATCTAAATTTATTATAAAAACTATACCATTGCTTATATTTTAGAAGCATTCTAAAATAAAGAGCACAGTACTTACAGAAACGTAAAGAATAAAGATTGTAAATCCAAAGAGATAGATAGACTTAGTGGCGACAAGGATTGACCAGAATGTACCCTTTACTTCTCTTTTGGTCAGCGTGTTGACAGCATGATTTAAATGGATAGATTCCAGATAGAAGAAGTTGAAACACTTTAAACTTTCTCTGACCCTGAAGATGAGAGAGAGGGTCGATGACCTCATTCCACCCATAATGGGAAAAAGTTTGTATTTAAAATTGACCACATGACAAGAAGAAAATGGAAACAAATAGTCAAACGGAAAATTTAGTCTTCGTCCAGGCCTGTGGGCTGATAAGACAGGTCTGCAAAATTTGTCCAGGTCTAAAGACTGAGAAAACATGTCTGCGAAATTTGTCCAGGTCTGTAGGCTGAAAAGACGTGTTTGTGGAAAATACAAGAGTTGTGTTCAGGTCTAAAGACTGAGAAGATGTGTTCATGAAATTGCAAGGAGAATTCATCTCCGAGTGGAATAGATGGATCCGTTTGATGACGTATGCGGAATGCCGCTACATCAAGGGGAAAGAGAGACAGAAGACAGCTTATAGAAAAAGAAAAGAAGAAACTGAGAAAAGATCTCAAAAGGAGATACTTATGGGAAAAGGAAAGAGAGGAAGAAAATATCTTGAAGGATGTCACGCCAAGGAGAAAGAAAGCAGTTTCAACTGTCACAAAGGATGAAAGGAAAAAGAAAGAAAGAACAGACCATCTCAAGCGAGAATGCTGCTATACCAAGACGAAAGAGAGAGGGAATGCATTTTCAACTTGATCGTCAGGCAAGCCCCTAGACAACGAAAAGAGAAAGAGAGGAAGTAAGAAAAGACCTCAAAAGGAGACCCTTATAAAAAGAAATAGAAAAGGAAAAAGCAAAAAAAAGTAGATATAAGTGACATTATTAGTGGAAAAGAAGTTTAATGCGAGTCAAGTTTGTTGTTTTTCTTGTGCTCTGTTTTTGTTTTAAATGTACCGCTTTTCATGTTTGTACTTTCAAGCAAGTTTAGCATGAGATCTTTTTATTACATGTTTATTTCCACTTGTCTTGAAATTTTGATGTTTTGTAAATTCGTGCAAGTATAGCATATGTTCTGTAAATTCGTGGAAGTATGGTACAAGGCCATACATTGATTTTTATTTTACCTTCCTTCGAGGATGCTCTCCTCCCACTATTTTGTCCACAATGTTTAAATGTTTATTCTTGACATATTGTAATTTTTGTTTTGGTTTTTTTTTTTTATTTTATCTTTTCTATGCTTTCATGTTTATTAATAAATTTATATTTCCTGTCTCCATTGTTGTTTGTTGCCTATCGTGTTTGTTCCTTAATCGGTTCCGCCCAGTCGTGTCTAATCAATCGAAAAGAGACCCTTGGGAAAGAAATATATTTTACGAAAATTGAGTAAAATGGAAAATGTTAAAAAAAAAAACAAATAAATAACACAGATTACGATCCTCCTCTACCTGTTCTATTACCACCTGGTTCTTGAAGAGTAAAATTGATTTCCACACAAAATATTTTTGAAAATAGCTTTATTTAATTTCATAAAGGTGATAGCTTTTAAAGTTTTTATTTAATTTTTATTTGTTTTAACTTAATATATAATACTAATTTTTCAGGTCCGAGGTGGTGTTTCAGAAGCAGATGGCCGACTCATGCAAGGTGACCAAATATTGTCGGTGAATGATGAGGATATGAGACGAGCAACTCAAGATCATGCAGCAGCAGTTTTGAAGGTTTATTTTGCCATTGTTTAATTCTTATCACCTAACAGGTTGTCACCAACATAGTGTTATGAGTATGAGACAATTCCTAAAAGTTTACATATTTGATTTTATACCTTCCTTATGACATGCATCACTCAATTGTTGGAAAATATATTTGTCTAATTTATTGTATTTATAATCCGTATATGATCTGTTTTAAAACATGATTCTCTATTGAAATAACCACTACTCTTATATCCTTAACAAGCTTGTTAATAGAAAAGACTAAATATTGTTTTATCTTTACAGACACTCATGGGAAAAGTTGTGTTGACCATTGGCCGATTAAAAGCAAGTTCTCGATCATCATCACATCACAATTCTAGCTCAGGAGGCCTTCGCAAATCTGAGTCTCATACTAGTGGCAAGTCCAAGGGGAAACATAGCAGAGGTTAGTATCAATTTGCCATAGCAAAAGGTTTACATGTAATACAAACTTCTTTTGTATTACATTTGATCAAATATGAATTTGATTCATTTATACATTAATTTACAGACTGTAAGTTTGAATACATTTTGGACCTTGCTTTGTTATGAAATTTTCTTATTTTGTTATAAACAATCTTAATCATTACTTTAAACATATTGTTTGATATATAGATAACATCACCTTCTTTTGATACAATGACTGGTAGTTAATTTTGCTTGCCCCCATGATTTCATATTGTATGCACTTTTCATTGCTTATTACACATTCTTTAAAAGATGGAATGTTTTGTGCTTAATTAGCCAATCACACAAATTGGTGCAAATGATTTGGATATTTTGGGTGGAGAATGTTTGGCACAAAACTTTTTCTGACTATTTTTATCAAGTTCAATCATTCACAGTACCTTCTCTATAAATTGCACAAATTTCAGATGCATTTGAATTGCATTTTTACTTTTCTTATGTTAAGATAAAATCAGCATATTTTCGTAAAAAATGTTGATTGTTTTATTCTTTTAATGTTAGAACCAATGATCAAAAATATGTAAAATTTGAGAAAAATGCACATTGCATTATGCCAGCTGCCATTCCAATCAGAAGTGTTCTTTTGAGTGAAGCTAGTTAAAACTAAGTGCTCATAATACCCTCTACCAAGAAAAATGTAAAGCACTTTTTAGGCTACCAAAACCTTTCACCTTACTAGGAGGATATACAAACACTAACTAATTTTGTGAACTCCATTAGACTAATAAAAACAATTTACAATAAAAAAAGAACAAATTAAAAATAACAATGTAGTGACAGATTTGATTTTCTGGATGTACATATAGAGGTTGCTGAAAAAATGTAAAGAATTGCGTCCAGTATAACATCAACATGGTTTTCTGCAACAAAATTACTCAATGCAACTACTTCATAAAAGCAACCTGCATGTGAGAAAAATGTATAATTGTAAGAGGAAATACCTGGAATTTGAACTTTGATACCAGAAACCTATAATCTGAAGAATCATAAAGTTATATATGGTCAAACATATAAGGAAGAGGTGTATATCACCTTCTTTGGGATCATAGATAAGTTCAGCCTACTTTATCTTACATGTACTTCAGTATATGTAAGGTAATGGAGGTTGATTATTAAAAAAAATGTATGACAAAACTTACCATAAGCCAAGCTAATTCATTGAGATTTTCTGTAAAACAACCTACTTGAAGAACAATTCAATTAAAAATATGATATAAGTATCGTATAAGCGTAATGAGAAGATTTGCATATTTGATAATTTAATCTGTACTAGCCTGGAAGTTGCCCTTTGGGCAAACTTAAGCTCGCTCCTGTGGATGGCTTTTGCCTTTTTACTTTCAGTGTCCTATGTACATAAAAATTATAATAATTTAGAAATTATTTTATCTTTATTCAACACCTTAATTCAGCATAATCTTTCTTCATATATAAAATGGATCTCCATAGTTTGTTTACATTTATTTTGTGTGAAGTTTTTATTTAGTATGCATGCTAGAAAAAAAAACATATGAGCAACATACCGTGCCCCACTTAAGATTTAATTATGGTTTAATTAGATGATATCAATTGCAATTGTAATGAAAAGCGAAATTAAAGTTAAAACTTTAATAAAGAAACGTTTTTTAAACATTTCACTCTATTTGGTATTTAAATTTAACTTTAAATGAGTTTTTTATTTAATTTTTAACTACATGTAAATACAGTATTACTACCTGTTACTTCAGATTGTTTATGATTCACCAAGATCGAAAAATGGATGGGCACACATATGCGCTTTATTTATATAGATATGTAGCCGGGTTTTTGCAGTGATGCTTAATCTAATACAATTTTTAATAGAAGTCTTTTACAGATAGCCTTTTTACAGTTTTCTCAAATTAGCTTAATTCATGTAAGCACAGTATTTTTGTGAAAGAAATATTTTTGTATGTTTATAATTGTCTAAAGACCATTAGTCAATTCTTTATATTTTATGTAAAACAAGCATTTGTCATGTGCATTATCAAAGAAGTTATTTTAAAAAATAAATATTTATTGCATAATATAAATGATTTTTTATCAGGCTGTAGACATACTGATTTACCTATATAAATTGGAATAAAATTGTTTATTGTTTTGTAAAACCATTTTAAAACCGTATTATAGTAAAATAATTATAAAACCTTAAGCTTTGAATGGCCTTGAGCTCACCCTAATCTCAACTAATTCAATGCCAACTACTTGTGATAAATATTATTGAATGAAAATTTTGTTGAAAAAAAGTCAGTGAGAACACCACATTAAAATAGAATGAATGAAAAACGTCCTACCTTAACTTTTGGTGGTGACAGAACAAACAGCATTCATAGAAGAAGCAATAACAAATGAGACATCATTATGGTTTTAGAACATGGTAATTAATCTATTTATTCAGCATGGCTCTCTTCCAATAACTGAAGAAAAAGAAGGAAAGATTAAGAAAAAAGGTCCATGCGCCCTTTACAACTTGAAAAGCAAATGTCTACGGTCCAAGGGAACTAATCCCTTATTTATTAATTTTGTTTTATTTTAAATATTATCTAGAAAGAGTGCAATTTTCAACACTCCTTCTCACTCGCTGTTAGATAATTAAGTTAAATTAGGGTTTTAACACCCAACAGTTCTCTGAGCTTCGCAAACTGTGCACCAGTGAGTCCTTTTGTTAGCACATCTGCAACCATATTTTGGAAAGTATTGTAGTTGTATTGCACTTGTTGCCACTGATGAAAGAAAGAAAATTTAATACCCATGTGTTTCGTGTATCCATGGTACTGTGGAGTTTTCGCCATGCAGATGGTTGATTGATTGTCCTCAGAGATGACTGTTGGTTCAACCAAAGTTTCATTGCAATCACTAGCAAGATGCTGTAGCTTCTTGTGCTGCACTTGCTAATGCCATATACTCAGCTTCTGCCGTAGATAATACCACACAGGTTTGCTTTTGACTTTTCCAACTGACAGCAGCTCCACCTAGTTTTAGCAGGTAGCCAGTGGTTGATATGTGATCTGCATCTGAATATCCTATGAGGTTGCTTGTTTCTCCACTACTGTAAAGTAAGCCATAATTCCGGGTACCATTCAAATATTGCAGGATATACTTAACAGCTGTCCAATGTTTTTTAGTAGGTTGGGAACAAAATCTTGCTACAATAGGTTGCTTCATGTAAATATCTTCCTTAAGTTCACCATTCAGGAATGCAATAGTTATGTCAGGCTGATGTAGCTTTAGGTCATAATTGTTCTTACAGATTCAAATCTGACAACAGGACAAAATGTCTCATCATAGTCGACTCCATACTTTTGATTATAACCTTGTGCTACCAGCCTTGCTTTGTGTCATTCCATGGTTCCATCAACATCATGTTTTCTTTTGAAAATCCACTTGCAACCAATAGCTTTTCTTCCACTGGGCAGTTCAACTAAATCCCACACTTCATTTGTGTGAAGTGACTCCATTTCCTTTTTCATTGCTTTCCTCCATTCGACTTTCTCAGGACTGGAAAGAGCTTCTTTCACTGTTAAGGGATCACTTAATCCATGAGCAAGTCCATTCACCATACTGATCAGGAGGTTTCTTCATTCTTTTCATTCTTGAAGTTGTCATCTTCACTTTCACTGGTATTCTGACATTCAATTTCTGCAACAGAATGTTTTTTGCTTCTATCATTCTTCTCATTTTCTATTTGTTCAACTATTGGTCTTGACTCATTAAAGATTACATCTCTACTGTAGAAGACTCTCAATTTTTCAATGTCATTAAGTCTATATGCCTTAATGTAAGACCCATACCTGAGGAAGATGCTTTTCTTAGCTTTAGGGTCCATTTTCTTTCTTTCATGTGAGCATAAGCTCTGCATCCAAATATACGTAAGTGTTTTACTTTTGGTTTGTGGTTTGACCATGCTTCATATGGTGTCATTTTGTGCACTGCATTTATTGGACTTCTATTTTGGATATACGTTGCTGTAGATAAAGCTTCAGCCCAAAATCTTTTAGGTAACTTAGAATCAGACAACATCACTCACACTGTTTCTACCAATGTCCTTTCAGCTACTCCATTTTGTTCTGGTGTCTTACTAACAGTATATTCATGGTGAATACCTTCTTTCTTCAAATAATTTTCTATTTCTCCTGAAGTATATTCTCCACCATTGTCTGTGTGTAGTACTTTGTGTCCACTTGATTTTTCTACAATGGTTTTCCATTCAAAAATTTTTTTAAACACTTCTCCTTTGTGTTTTAGCATATATATCCAAACATATCTGGATTTATCATCAATGAATGTAACAAAGTATTCACATACACTTAATGATTTCTCTTCAATTTTTCCACATACATCAGTGGACTTGTTGCAGAATTTGAGCTAATTCGGTGTGTCAGAAGGTGAGATTGTGTGAAGGCTTAAAAATGTGCATGTTCATTAAACATTCATCCACAACAAATAAAATAAACAAACATTTGAAGGCAATTCAATTGGAAGAAATCAAAGAGAAACAACGTAGTTATAGATTTCAACAAATAACATGCATTTATATATGTTTGATATACACAAAGTGAATTTAAGATTGCTTGTTCAATGTGATAAGTGAGATAAAATTGTAAGGAGAGACCATGCAGTGATTTGGTGTATGAAAGCTTGTAGTTAAGGTTTGTTTATGAAATTAAAAGTTTGATTTCTGCAAGGTGAAATGTCACTTGTGTGGGTTCAAATAATAGTGTGTATGTGTGCGACAATTTTAAGTATTGTTTAAAGTCATAAGGAGTTATGTGCCGTTGACTGATATGATGTAAGTTGATTAAATATACAATTACTACTTCGGTAGTGATATTGTCACTTTTTCTAGTAAATTGTAAGTTAGATCAATTCACGCGGCAAGACATTTTGAGTTGTGTTGAGTTGCTGAGAGAGAGTGGTGGTTGT